TCTTGACACTAGAACATTTTGAAATTCAAATTTATTGTCTTCGTCTACTTTAGATAATCTGGATCATTAATTAATTGATGAATTTAAGAAAGGTATTCTTGACACCAGAACACATTAGAATTTATAAATTTTATTAAAATTACTTTTGATAATCTGTAAGTCACAAAAGAAGTAAAAGTTTCAAAATCCCACTCGTTATGTATCAAAAAATACTTGGATCATCAAAAAAAGAAGAACCACTTCCTTACACAATATAATACTCGAATAAATTATCTTTGAGCAGAAGCAAATGAAGAATTATCTTTTATATTCGCATTAAAAAATTGTAATATCATTTAATTTTGTTTGATAAAATTCTAAAAGGAGATTTCGAATATCATGTAAGCTAAGACTTTTTTGTCTGGCGAATCCAACCATAGTAAGTCGATTATCAATTGTCAGCCCATAAGACAGATTCTTCTAAATCTAGAAAAAAGTAAAAATAAATTATTTCGATATGTCACAACGACAAGAATACCGTATTTAAAATTTGCTTTTAGGTAAAGAGTGATCTAGATAATCCAGACGAAATTAACTATTCTATTTATTGACTAGTTTGCAAACTGCCGTTTTGCTAATAATAATATTCGCAATGTTTGCTTGCTGCGATCGAATATATCAGAATCGTAGTTTACAATTATCTCTATATTTGCTAAAAAAGTATGCTTGCCACTAAAACATATCGGAATTAATAATTTTATGTACTTGATTTACTAATGATCATATATATGCAGCTTTTTGTTGTGAATTAACAAGGTGATCAATACAAAAAGCGCGAATATTTAAAAAAAGAATAGGGAAGAATGAAAAGATTATAACGTGTAAAGACTGCACCCTCACCCGAACGCTATCAGACAATAAAATTTTTGGGAAAAAGTCATTAAAAATTTATTTCTTCAAAATTTAAGAATTCTAATCATCTAAAAATCACCTTAATTATAGTAGGGACTCAACCCTTTACATTCCTGAAGAATACAGAATTTTGTTTTAATTTTTTAGCATTTGCAGCCTCACCTAAACTCTTTCAGACAATCAAAATTTTGGGAAAAATTTATTTCTTCTAAATTTAAGAATTCTAATCATCTAAAAATCACTTCAGAAGAAGGAAGAGGTCAGCAAAGTTGAGGTTATTTTAAGAGAGGGGATTAAAATGAGTAGTGAGGGGAGTGAATGTGTATATTATGGACGAAAGGTGAATGAGTTGGAAAGAAGAGTAGAATGGATGGAAAAGGATAAAAGAAAAAGGAATATAGTGATTAGGGGTATGAATACAGGATTAAGTGAAGAGAGAAAAGAGGTGGGAAGACTGGTTGAAAGGATAGAGGTAACAGTTAATATTAGGCAGATGAAAGCGATAAGTATGGATGCGAGTGGGATTCCGAGGATATGATTAGTAGAACTGGGAAGAGGAAGTTATGAGATTCAAAGGATGTGCTGAGAGAATAGATGAGGACAGAACATGGAGAGAGAGAAAAATAAGATGGTTGCTGGGAGAGAAGGCATGGATCGAAAGAAGGAATGGAAGTGAATTAAGAATGGGTAGTGAAAATATGGTGAAATATGGTAGTGAAAGGTTAGGACGAAATCGTGAAAAGGAATGGTTGGAGAATGATAATTGAGGTTAAGGATTTAAGTAATTAAAAGGAATGGGTCGTTAATAGGGAGTCAGTCAGTATTGATAAAGGGAACTAGAAACGAAAGCCCTGACACTGACGAATTTTGAGAGGATCAGTGAGAAGCGAATAGGTTACTGTGTTGATGTAGGATATGAGCGGCGTCATAGTTTAGAAAATTTTTTATTTATAGAATAAGTTGACTTGTGTATATACTTGGGAGTCTCGAACCCTGCCTATTGCAGGGAGAGTAAATAAACCCCTTTTTGATATTTTAAAACCGCTTGAATCATATTATCAATTTTACAATAATCCCCTCCCCCATTAAAATTGTGATTTCACCAAAAAAAGACGAAAATTTCCACACATTTGTCAAAATTGTCCATTTTTAATTAAAAAATTTCAAAAATTCACCACGTTGATAAATTTAATTCAATATTCCTTTTTACTTTGCTCATTGCCAGTTGATTATAAGGGGGTTTTAATTACAAAATTCGTATGGACAGTTGTGTCGGCAATGATTATTTCATGAGTCATATCATTAATCATAATTTTCCGTAAACGTAGCGTATAATTTTGTTCACAGTGATATTCCCCAACATGAATTGACGTAACATTAAAGTTTCGCTGATGCAACATTGATGCACCACCTCTCATACTCATATAAACTGGGGAAATAAACAGGCCTCGTCATAAACATTCCCATGCACAATGTTCGGCTTCGTTTACGCTTAATGGCATAAAATTATGGTATTGCCAATAATCGTAATATAAGCTAAGGGAGGGGGAGGGTGATTTTGGTAGCGGATTATTTTACCTGATAATTCGTTTCTACTTCTTATGGTCATATTAATGCAGTTGGACGATACTGTGAAATATGGTTAGTTCAACAAATACCCCGGAAACTAATAACACGTTTTAATTAACGACAATTCGTAATACGGTAATATTGCAGGACTAGATTATTCACCTCTCTTCCTCCCTGCTCACCTCCCCTTGAAAACTTGCCACCTGCCTGGTAATAATTATATACTCGTGTAAATAATCGCTTGTAAATAGTGAAATAGTATATATAGGATTTATTATCAATAGAATAATGAGGTGGTGAAAATTAATTTATATTAAATTAGAAATTGTTTCCTAATAGGAATTTTAATGATGAATATCTATTTGATATGATCTATAATTTTAGATATTGTATTTTTAAATTTATGTATTGAAATAAATCTTTCCTATTGAATGTGAATTATTTTGGGTTTGAATTCAATGCATTTGTGTATAATATATTCTCCTGACTGAATTCCCTTTTCTCTTTAACGTACATACATATATAGGTGGAACCCTCATTGATTCCATATTTTGATCCGTGTATTTCTAGTTTCACCATATTAGATATTTCGCCTGCGGCAAATTGCCACTAAATTGAGTGAGCTACAGGTATACAGGTTTCTGCATTTATCGAGTCACTAACTCGATGAACCTCTCAGACTCGTGTATAATAAACTTAATTAAGAAGGAGACTAATGTGAATAATTAAACGTGAACTCGAGACCAAGGGAACCAAAAAGATATTTTATTATAATATAATGAAAGGGAAAAACAAACCTTTCTTTTTGTGCTGCTATCTCCTGATTTGGAATTCAGAAAATAAATAATTATATCTAGTTATTCTATAAATTTGAGAAGTTCTCGAAGTTAATTCTCATTTACAAAATAATTTTTTTGCTTAATGTATAATAAAACATTTCAATTTAGTGTCATATATAGTAAATTTCTTTCTTTACCCATTTTGTATATCTACTGATTTTATAATAATAATAATAATAATAATAATAATATTATTATGACATAAACATATTATTAAAGAATTTCATGAAAAACAATATTTTTAGTGTATAATTTTTGCGGATTTTAATATGTTGAAGGGCTTAGGTATAAAATAATTTTAAAAATCATTGCATTTTAAACGGAAATTTATAGGAATATAATATAAATAAATTACAAATTCTAACACCTAAAACACAAATTATTGTTCAAAAGCAAACTAAAATATATACTTTAAGAATTCACTGGGTATAACAAATTACACTTTAAATAAATTACAAAAAATAATAACAAAATATTTTTAAATGCACTGCGTATCACAAATTGCACCTGAAACAAATTCCAATTTTTACAGGAAATAACATGTAATTAAAATCATTGCGTATCACAAAAAAAAATGTTGTTTACATGAAAGAATTAGGGAATATCACAAATTGCATGTTAAACAAAATTTTTCACATGAAAAACTTTCACTTCATAGTCGAAATTCATACTAAAGATTCCCTTAAAAGTAAAAACTCCCACTTATTTTGTGTCCCAAGACAAATGATTATAATTGTCAAAAACAATAATTTTATTTGTTAATATAAATTCTTGAGAGAAGGAGGATTGTTTTTTTTCAATTTTTTTTTCGCTATGAAATGAAACTGAATTTTTATCATACCTGGAGCACTTCCGAAGGAAGTAATATTCTACCATTATTGATTGTTTTTTGTCTCGATTTTGGTAACCGGAAAAGGGAAACGAAACTGTTGATGCAAATATATCGACAGGCGACAAAACAACAACATGGGTGTTACAACCACATCACACGTTAACCACCATCAACCGTGAATAGTACATCTACCGATATTGCGTGGTTAGTGATGCTTAGAAGAAAAAAGCAATTTTCTATATTTTTGTAAAAAGAAATTTCAATTAATTGAACCAGATTAGTTTTTTGAAGATATAATTAAATAATTTTTTTTATTTAGAACCATAGAGGTATTTTGAAAAATATAAAAATTTTTTAATTTAGAACTTTGTTTTTTCTTTCATGAAATCTAATTTAATTTACTTATCGAAAAACTATTTATTTCTCTTCTGATAATTTAACTAAATAATTAATTTGAAGTAGATCAATTAGAGCGTCTAATTGCATGGTTGAAAATAGAGCAACTTTGCTCTCTCTCTCTCTCTCTCTCTTAATGATATCATATCGATTCTAAAGCCAAATTCTCCAGAACAATTCTATATGTGTGTTTGGTTGCTTGTGAACGGTGTTGATTTATCTAATAGTAAAGAAAACGTGATTTTTTTTATAGTTTTATAGTTTTTTGTTAATAACTTTTTGTAAAAACAGGTATTCTATCCACTAGACTATATTGGAATTAAAATTTAATTGATTTTTTTTAACAATATAAATGTTCCGTAAAAGAATTTTTTCACAATACAAAAAAAAATTTTTGAATAATTTAACAGTCGTATTTAAATAAATAATTAAGGTTGATATTGGGAATATGTAATTATTGAAAGAAACAGAAATAGTTTTTCTAATTTTTAATTATTTTTTAAGAAGTGTTCATAAGAAGCACAAGAATTTTAGAAAATATATTTTAGACGTAAAAAATATTAGACTGAATACAGTCTGTAAGTTTCGTTTGTAGTTGAAACTTATTAGAGTTATAAATATTATTACATGCAGACAATTCTGATGAAGATAAGGAATATATTTTATTTGATAAACTAGTTATTTTGCCCTCTATTGTTGAAAAGTATTCTTCTTCAATTTTATCTACTGTTGCTTTTAGCTGAAAGTAAATTATTCGGTTTTAATAATTCATGAAAACTTCGACAATTATTGTTTTCGTAATAACTATTACTATTATTAAAAAAAAAAAAAAAAAAAAAAAAAAAAAAAAAAAAAAAATTGAATCATTATTATTATTGTAATCATCGTATTTTTATTATTAATAATAATATTAATATAATTGTTACCTATATTTTATTATAAATATTTTTAGTATACTATAATCATAAATTTAAAAGCAACTTAGGGAAAAATTGATAGATACCTTTGTGAGACAATCATTTAATTTTGAACTGTTTTCCACTTCTTCGAAATCTGTGCAAGCATATTCAACATTTGTATTAACCAAATTGAACCAAAATGAACGATATTCGCCATAAAGAGTTGCAGTTTTATTCATAAGGGTTTCATTTATTTTTTTTAAGCAAGTAGAATATTCCAAGAAATAATTTCTTTTAGTTTCCTCATAACTTTCCGATAGTTGGAGACATTCTGGTCCTTTGTCTTTTATTTCTTCTACAACATTATTGTCTTCGAACTGTTAAAGGAAATTAATACAAAAAATTAATAAATAAAATTAAAAAAAAAAAAAAAAAAAAAAAAAAAAAAAAAAAAAATTGCTGTTTAATTTTTTAGTACATGCAAAAAAAATCGTAAATTAATGTTTTGTTTGAATTACATTGCGCAGGTCAGTGAAAAGGGTTTCATTCTCCTTGTGTAGTGTTACATTCACTACAAGTTTAACCCGACTCATTTCTTTAAATGCACTGGACAGGGCATCGTCATCTGATTTACTGAGATTAGACAAAATGTTTTCATATCTGATAGTTAAATATGATTGAGAAATATTTTCGTCTTCATTATCGACTGTTGTAATGGATGAGACCTAAAAGTTGAAAATTTCTATTATTTAATAAAAATATGTAAATTAAATATATTTTTCTATATATTAATTACGAAGGGTATGCTTGCCACCAGAACATATCGGAATTAATTTTTTTTACTCCAAAACAACGGATTAAAAATAAACAAAATAAATAAATTTTACTCTTGATCTTACTCATTTATTATAGAAATAAAATAAAAAGAAACACATTTTTATATCTGCTATAAAAATAATAATTTATCAATGAATTTCTACAATTATAGATATTAATAAAAATATTTACCAATAAATATTAATATGAAATTTAAAGTTCATTTGAATTTTAATTTAAATACTTTGATAATATTAAAAAATTTTGAAAAATTTAAATTAAAAAAATTTATAATTATAATAACAATTTGTAGTAATTATAAATTATAATTACAGTAGTAAATTAGTAAAACAGTAAAATTAATTCGTTATCAAATAAAATAGAAATAATTGAAATTTAGTTTGAAGGATAGTTTCTGTGTATGCTTTTTTTCTTTAAAAAATATTGTTTGACAAATCGAAAATATTCAGGTATTTTTTCATAATTTATAATAATAATTAATAATATTAAAAATTAGAAATTTATGATTATATAGAATATATGATTATTATAATTATAATAATATTGAAACTGTATTCCAATTCGTATTTTATTTTTATAAAAAAAAATTTGAATAAAAAAATTTTATGTTCGATTATTTTTAAAACTGCTATTATTCTATAATTAACTATGTGAGAAATTAATAAAAATATCACTTTATTTTTTACGAAACTAAAAATTTGAAAAAAAAATGTTTTCAATACTTACACTAATGGCAAAAGTAGCGCACAATAGTACAGCAAGTCTTGACATAATTGTAACTTTTTTTAGAGACTTTAGTAACGAATAATAACGACTAACTTAAACTATCAATATTTAATGCTTTTATATCCAAAACTTATCAAAAAAATGTTAATATACATTAAATATTGATGAGAATTAAAAAATTTCGAAGTATTTCCCAGCTTTCCGAGTATTTAAATAATCTTATATTTACTTTAGATTATAATTTAAATTAGTAGATATTAGTCATAAATTTCGAGTAGTTTCTAATAGAATATTGTTTACTTTGCGATGTATATGAAACGAAGTGCGATTGGTATAAAATAATATAAAAAATCTTAAATTATTGTACTTATTGTTTTAGAAATTAAAGATTTACTGAAAGGTATGCTTGCTACTAGAACATATCGGAATGAAATTTTTTGCTATTCTTATATAGTGAAGTAAAATTTTTTTTAAAAAGGTATTCTTGACACTAAAACATAAATTAGATTTTTTTAAATGTTAATTTTATTTTAAATGTTATTTTTAAATGTTAAAAAAAATTTTTTTTAATGGAACATTATCTTCATCATCATTACATTGTTGATAAATTTAAAAATAGGTATTCTTGCCCCTAGAACATATCGGAATTAAATTATTTGCTATTTTTATATAATAAAGTAAAAAAAAATTTTTTTAATGTTTTTTTTTAATTTTTTGTTTTTTTACACTAAAACATATCGAAATTAGAATTTTTTTTAAAAACATAACAAAAATGTTTTACAAAATTTCTTTTTATAAAACATTATTTTCATCATCACTGCATTGTTGATAAAATTAAAAATAGATATTCTTGTTACTACAACATCGGAGTGATTAAAAGTTAAAACAAATTTTTTTTTATAAAATACATTATTTTCATTATCATCCCATTGTTGATAAATTTAAAAATAGGTATTGTTGCTACTAGAACATATCGGAATTTTTTTGACCATAAAAAAATTATATAACAAATTTCAATATTAAAAAGTAGAAAAATTAAGTTGTGCTTAAAAATACCTACTTTTCAGTTTTTTATATAAATTTATTATTATATTTAATAAAAATGTTTTACGATTATTTTAAAATTTCTTTATTTATACAATTCTGTATACTTAAAAATTAACATAGACATTCTAAGTACATAACATTTTTCCTTCTGGTAAATTAATATAAAATTAATCCATTTATATTTTTAAAAATTATTGTTATATGTATTTCTTTTAAAATGTTTATTGTTTAAAAAATTAGAATCTATTTAGATTGTTTTTGAACTATATTAAATCTTTTTAGTAAAATTATTCCATTTTTTAGTAAATTTATTTATATTTTTATAGAATTGATTAAATTTATATATATATATATATATATATATATATATATATATATATTAGTGTTAAAAATTTTTTAAAGTAAGAAATTATTTTTCCTTACATACATTTCGCGATTTCTGACATAATTTGCAACTTACTCTCAGTATTGCTTTGATTGCATTCTAAAAGTTTTTCATTAAATAAAGACAATAGATTTTTGAAGAAAGGCTCTAAACTTTCATCCATCTTTTTGAAATCTTCTTCGCTTGCAACTATTTCTTTCTCGACCTGAAAGACAATTTTTTAAAAGTGTTACTATAAAAACTTTAATGATATCTTTATTGTTGTTTAATTTATTTTTATTATTTATTTAATTTTAATTTTAATTTTTTTTTAAATTAAAAAAAAATTTTTTTTTATTTTGATTTTTATTATTTTATTATTTATTTAATGTATTTGATTATTTAAATTTAATTGAGTGATTAATGGTAAAAATGTCAATAGTTACCTTTTTAAGACATTCTCTTACTTCACTTATTTGTGATTTAGTAACTGTTTCATTCGAAATCGCACAACTATTTTCAATATCAATGGCCAACCATTTTTCATGATAAGATTCAAATTCGTCATTAATAGTCTTAATTTCCTTAAGAATAGTAGCGTTTATTTTTTTTAAACAAGTACTATAGTTCAAAAAACAATTATTTTTCCTTTCTGTATAATTTTGCGATAGTTGGAGACATTCGGCGCCATTGTTTTTTATTCTTTCTGCAATTCCTGCAACTGCGAACTGTTGAAGAAAATAATTTATTAAAAAATGATAATTAATTAAACAAAAAATTATATTAATTTTAAAAAGAAATTATATTAATTTTTGAAAAAAATTATATTAATTTTTGAAAAAAATTATATTAATTTTAAAAAGAAATTATATTAATTTTTGAAAAAAAATTATATTAATTTAAAAAAATATATATTAATTTTTAAAAAAATATATTAATTTAAAAAAAATTATTTTAATTTTTAATTAATTTTTCAATTTAAAAAGAAATATTATAATTTTTAAAATCTTTTTAAACATTTCTTTGTAATAATAATTTTTTTAGAAAAATTACGTAATGTAAAAATTAATATAAAATTAGAAATAAATTTGAAAAATAAAAATCAAATAATTCAAGTAGCAATGAAATTAAATATAGAGAAAAATGTGAGATATTTTGTTAGTAAAAGAACAATAATTAATTACAATGTGTAAATCATTCGAAAGGGTTGTATTCGCATGATTTAGTGTTGCATTCACTGTCTGCTCATATTTGGAATATTCTGCAAATGCCTCTAATATAATAAAGAGATCTTTATCAGAATAATTCTTCAGAACGCCATCGTGCCGAATTTTTAAATTTCCCTTTATATTATTAAGATCTTTATAATCAAAAATCCTATAGCAGGAAACCTGAAAATTTTTAATTAATTATTAATAGATATTTTCAATTAGAATAAAAATGTTTTACTATTAAAATAAAAATAGAAATGTTTTATTATTGAATTAAAAATAAAAATGTTTTATTATTAAAATAAAAATATAAATGTTTTTTTATTAAAATAAAAATAGAAATGTTTTATTATTAAAATAAAAATGTTTTTTTATTAAAGTAAAAATAAAAATGTTTTATTAATAAAATAAAGAGAAAAAGAAGGCAATAGTTAATTATTATTAATTAATATTTTGAAATATTTTTTCCGTAGAAGAAATTTAAAATTACTTACACTAAGCACAAATGTAGCGGACAAGAGGAAAATAATTTTTGCCATGATTTCAACTTTATGTTAGGATGCACTAATCACTGACTTAAAATATAATTCTCCAATGCTTTTATATCCGATTTTTGTTGAAAATGAAAAAATAGATTAAATGCTAACAAAGAATAAGGAAATTAAAATTTTTTTCCCTGACGACTTATTTTTTGTGTGGAAAATATTTATTTTAGATTTTTATTTTAATTCTCAAATAGACAAAATTTTTTATAATATTATTCAAAGAGTCGAAAACAGCTTTATTCGTAATTATAAATTCAAAGGTAAATAAAAATGTACGCATTGACAAATTATCTTAAGGTATAATTTTTAAAAATTCTATTTAAATAGTATTTTTAATTTGTATAATGTGACGCAAAACTTATTGTTTATATACTATGACGATTATTTTAATTTCTTGAATATGACGTACTATTTACTATTTTATAATTCAGGAAGTTGAATAGAAGCAATTTTTACAAATATTTAATTTTTTTATGAATATTAATTATGTTAAGCTTCTTCTTTAATTAATAATTCCATGACTATTAAAGGTTCTAAAAATTTGTCAGAAGACTATTTTCGGCGAAAATCTGCAGAAAAAAATTAATATTTAATTGAATTCATTGTTCCAATCTACGGTTGAAAATAATTTAATTTTACTTTTTCGAAATAGGGCCAATTTCTGGGTGTGAGACACAGCATATCACCAGTTGTGAGACAGTGTCGACAACACCCATCTAGGCATAAAAAATACGACTTTGCTGGCATACTATTTAAATGTTGTTTTGGTTTTTTTTTTAGTATTTTCTACTAAACATAACGTTACATGTCAAATTTTTTAATTTTTAGCAATTTTTAATAAGTGTCTCACAACTGGACACATTTTTTGTTTGTTGACAAAAGCGATGTGCTGGAAAAATTGATCATAACTTTTTTTGACTCCATCTGAACACAATACTTTCTTTGAATAAAAGTTGCGTATTTAAGTTACCTTTCGAACGGTATACTTTATTCACAATTTCGTTTACCCATTTAAAATTTATGGGTAAAAAACAAAACCCGTCTCATACCTAGTGACACATCCCAATATATCGGATTTTGCGAAAATACTTTACACTTTTGATTACCGTAGACTTGGTGATAAATTTTAAATGTCGGTGATTATTTGTTTAGTTGAAAATAAATTTTAAGTGTTGTCCGGTTTTGATTTTTGTTCAACTGATCTAAAGTTTTTTAAAAATGTTTAACTGCTGCTAGAATTAGGAGCAATCCTTTTTTACAGTTGTCCCAAGGTGCAAAACATCTAGAAGCAGGTTTTACGTCCGATATGATTTAGTGGCAAGGATACCTAATTTTTGAAACAATTTTTTTACTAATAAGATGAAAATCGATCTGTAGGGAAATAGAGATCCATTTTCATCTTGTTTAAAGAATTCGACAGTATTTGGTACTAAATGTAGGTTTATTCATCGTGAGGGAAATTTCAATCATTTGGAAATCTTAATGATGAATCTTAATAATCTTAAATTCTTAATATTGTAATGGTAATTTTGATAAAGATTTCCTAATGATGAAATTTTTGAAGTCTAGAATTTTCTGCTGATTATAAACAATTTTAGATTCCTCGACTCTTCGTGTGTCATTGACCCTGTGATTTTAATTTAGTCCAGCAGGTGTTTGTTAGGAGAAGTTTTTTCTAGAAAAAAAAAATCTTACCTAATAAAGTTGTACCCGTGGTGAGAGTGGATTACAGCCAATTTCAGAGGTTGGTTGTGCTTTGAAGCCAATGTTGAATGTTGGGGGGTAGGAAGGAGAGGATGAATAAGGAGGATGCAGAAGTCAAAAGTTCCAACGCCTTTTGCTCTCTCTCCCTCCTCCAACCTTATCCCATGGGACGGCAATTGAGCGTTGATTTATCTGAAAACTTTTTATAATAGTTGGAACAAAATATAGATATTCAACGTGTGAAGGAGGCGCTAAATTGCTCGCGTTTCAACTTCCAAAGATATTCTGCGAATCCTGATGATGGCGTGCCGTAACTTGTCGTCCCTGCTCGCAATTTCACTCCCCAAGTCCAATTTCATTTCAAGAAAAAACTAAAGAAAGACAATTGAACTTTTCTTGTGCTTTGCCTCCTTTTTTCTGTCCAGACAGAGGTTGAAGAGAGTTGTTTTTAGGTAGAAAGAATATTTTGTTCAGAGAAAAAATATTTTTTTCATAAAAAAACTCAAATTAGGTTTGCCTAAATGTTTGTTATTAATTATAACCTTGAAATGATTTTAAAGATGGTGGATAATTATTATTTTGATTTATCTGTTTTGTATCAAAGTTTTAAGAGTTGGGAATACAAGTGCTTGGTTATATGTTCCATTTTGAAGCGATATATCTGGTTATGGGAACAATGGCATGAAGAGGTCGTAACTGTAGCAAAACGTTGCGACGAGTTGCAGCTGTTGTTCGAGTACCGTCTGTATTTTATGAACGACATGGATTCCTGACCAATGCAGTTATGTCGATTTGCTGTGTTGACTCCATCATCTACTTCTGCCGATAAGCACAGTTGCCACTGACCTGTATTCCATTTGTAGTTACAACAAACAAAAAGGGGTTTTCAATATATTAGTGGCATTCAAATTTGTTTTTGAAATTATGTTTAAATCTTCGACCTTCAAACCAAGACAAAGTTTTTTCAAATATGAGTACAAATGTAAATGAAACCTTAACAAAGAATGTTGTGGACATTGTCTCACTGGGAGTTTGCAATTCAAATAAATATTCATCAAGGAACGATCCTAATAGAAAAACATCTAATTTTTTTTTGATGGATTTGTCAAAATGACGGTCATGATTGGTGGAATATTCCATGATGACGGTCGCGATTGGTTGAAATTTCATAATGACGCTTGTCATTGGTTTAAAATATGATGATGACGGTTGCGATTGGTTGAAATATTTTCCTCCCTTGAGAAAATTGGTAGTGGGAGTTGACACATAAATATACGTGTTCCTTAAGGAAACTTCAGTTCAAAAAAATCTATCTTCATGTCTTCAGTTTTTTGTACTGGCTATTTGTTAAACAAGAGGCCATTAAAACAAGAAGAAGAAGAAGAAGTCTTCAGTTTTACTCTCAAAATCTCAAGTCATTCGGTCACCTAAGTTCTCTTCTGAGTTCTTCAAGTTCTCAAGTTGAAGTTCATTCAAGTTTTAAAAATATTATCAAGTTTTCAATTTTCAAAAGTTAATACAACAAATTTCAACTTCAACTTAGTTCCAGCCTCAACTTCAATTTTAATCTTCGATTACTAATTTTTATATAAGTAAGTGAAATTTAATTCGCATAAAATTCGATCAAAAAATAATTTTTCATCTTCTGCTGATTATCGGCTGTGGTTACTTTTTATGAAATGTGAATTGAATTAATTTTGATGACTTAGATATTAATTGGAATTGTTCTAGCAATAGTTTGGGACCAGTAAACAATGAAAAAATCTAGACTTGAATCAATTTATTAATTACATTTTAATATTTAGTTATATTAAAGACAATTATTGTTATTTGCCATCTTTTTGGGACGTAACATGAGGTGATCAAAATAAAATAGAAAAAAAGTGAAAAAATTAGGTTAGTGTGTAATAAGGATAAAAGATAAGTTTTTATTAATATTATTGTAATTTAAAACAAAAATAGTAACTAAAATTTTAAATATAATTTTTATAATTTATTGCTAATTGTATTTTTTATTAACTTCGGAACAAATGTTACAATAATAAAACAATTATAAAACAATTATAGAACAAATAAATAATTTAAATTATTTAAATAATTAAGTATATTAAAATAATTCTACAGTTATTGAAAATTCACTTCAAGTACAAAAAAATAGTATAATTAAACATTTTCTACATTTTTTATTACATGAATAAATATTGTTTTTATTCTAGACATTTTTTGAGTTGATTATTCAATTGACGACTACGTCCATTATATAAGTTATCACATTTCTCAAATGGAGGAGTTTTCAAAAATGGAACATTATGCCGAAACATTTTCACTTCATATACTTGTTGAAACTCATTCACTTTTTCCGTCAGCTGTAAAAAATTTGTTTTTATATTAATTCCATTTTTTTAAATGAAACTTTTTACAATATTTGAAAATTAATTTTTGGGTAATTTTCCATAATAAATAATAATAATAATAATAATAATAATAATAATAATAAATACTTAATAATAAAAATAAAGCAATAATTAAAAGAGCAATATAAAAGAGAAAATAATTATTAAAATAAATAATTAAATAATCCAAGTGAATTTAAATGATAACTAACCTTTGCAAGACATGTGGATGCTTTTGAACTGTTGGTTTTCTTCAATTCCAAACAAGATGACAATTGAGCTTTGGTGGAGTATAATTCATTTAAAAATCTATATGGTTTATGTTGAACAATATCACATTTTGTCTCAACCATGTTCAATTGATTTACTAGACAATCCTTATAGAAGGTAAATGCAGTATTTTTATAACGTTTATAGGATACCGCTAATTCCAAACATTCTCTGCTTTTGTCTTGAATTTTCAGCACTACCTTTCCATTTATAAACTGTTAAAAAATTTGGAAAATTAGTATTCTAATAAAACTGGTAAATTAATTAATTTATTAACTATAATAAATAAAAAAAACTATCAACAATTCGCGCGCGGCTAACTTCTTACTTAATTTTTAAAATAAAATTTAAATATTTTAAAAAATATTAAAAATTTCACAGAAATTAAATTAATTAAATTAACAAATTTTTTATTAATTTCTTCATATTAATTCAATTATTTTTAGAAATAATAAAAACAGTTTTTAGGAATTTAATTATATTCATAAATAATAAAACTCAAAATTTTTTTGAAAATGTTTTATTGAATTTTTTTTTGAAATTATTTTAAGTTTTTATTTTCCAATATATAATAAATTGGAGAATTTCCAAAGAATCGAAATTGCGTAAAATTTAATTATAAACAAATGAATTTGCAAATTTTCAAATACTTACATTAGATAAGTCGTTTAGAAGAGTTTCATTTTCTTTTTGTACTCGTGTCTTTAATCCAGCAATATGATTATCCTTTTGTTTTATTACATTGTATTTATAACGCGTATCATTCGAATTAACTTCCTCAATAATTTCAGATAATTTTTTCTCCAAATTTATTTCCAAATTATCAATAGCTGCACCATTAATAATAGAAACCTGAAAATTTTAGAATTAAAATTAATATTATTAATTGTAATTCATATTATTAATTATAATTAATATTTTTAATTATAATTAATATATATAATTAATATTATTAATAATTATTAATAATATTATTAATATTAATAATCAATAAAAACCAAAAAATTCTACTCGTCTCATAATGAGAATAATAAATATTTATAATAATGTTAAGAACATTGGTAACCAAACAATTTTTCTAATTATTAAAAATTTTTCTCGTATTACAACTAAATTGTAATTAAAATGATTGTTAATTAACTTGATAATTAATTGTAAGTGTTTAAAAAAAAAATTTGAAAACAAAAGTTTAAATTGAATAAAATAACAATTTACTGTTGAATATTTTTATTGTTTCTTAATTTTAACTACTTACGCTGCTAAAAACAGCAATTAATAGAAGGAAACTTTTTTTTCCCATTTTTAACAATTTGTATTTTTTCTATTGCACAAAATAGTCGTCTATTACTTAATGCTTTCTATAAAATGTTTACTTCTTTTTATATTAAATTTCTTATCTTTGCTTACCTATAATTATATTTGAACAAGTGATAGAATCAACGAAAATTCATAGTTCCCTATTCAAATTCAAATAATATATTTACCTTCACACTCAAGTACGTGCTTTATTTCACGAGATGTTATTTTTTATGAAGAATAATAATTTTCCTAAGAAAATCGATATTCATTGCGAATATATTATTTCAATTAAATTAATTTTTTTACAATTCAAATTGTAAAAATGAATTTGGCCTCAAATGGTCAAAGGACATAGTCCTGAAGTTGGCCTCAAATAGCTACGGTATATTTAATATAACTTCAGGCCATAGACGTAGGTCAAGAGACAAACATAACCTCAAAATCAGGTCAAGGTCATCGCTCTGAAGTTGGCCTCAAATGACTATAGTATATTTAACATAACTTCAGGTCATAGACGAACAAAACTTCAAAATCAGGTCAAAAGTTATTGCTTTCACAGACATTGATGGAGAGGCCAACATAGAAATAAATTCACTGAAAGAAATAATTTCAATAAACACTAATTTCAATGAATTTGTCTAAAAACCAATATTGATAATTAATATTATTAATATTAATATTACTTAATTTTTAATTTAAAACTTAATTTTAAATTAAAAATAGGGGGTTGAATATATTTATAAAAATATTTATATCTATTCATTAAAAACATCTCGTGAAATAAAGCACGTACTTGAGTGTACAGGTAAATATATTATTTGACTTTGAATACGGAACTACTTATGTTTATTGTGACGTTGTACAATTTTTACAATAACAATAATATTTATTTTAAAATAAATTTTCATAATGTTGACTTAAAGATAAAATTAATTTACATTTAATAAACAATAACAATAATTAAAACATATTTTAATTCAAACTTTGTTTATTTTTTTGTAAAAGTTAACTTAATATTATAAATAAAGTATTATCGTTTCGCTTTTGAAATTCTTGCTTTTCGTATTCTCTGAATATTTCAAATTTTGCATGGAATCATTGGAAAGGAAGTTCGTCGATCAGCCTGCATGCAGACTTCCCCTTTCGTCGCTGACAATTTTCCCCTTTCTTCGTACGAATCAAGGAGAATTTCCCCATTTCTCATGAGAAATGATTATTCAAGACTTGCCGCGTTCGCAATGTTTCCCCCGTTTTCAATTTTCCCTACCCAAATTATCTCTGAATTAATTTTGAAATTATTACCTTTTTCTTGTACCCAACCCAAACGTTGTTACTCCCCATAATAATACCCTGAATATTATTAACTTTATTATAATTCCAGAATTTTTGTCATCGTTCAGGACATGGTTATCACCATATGTTGATAATGAAGAAATCTACTATACCGACCTCCGATGTATTACCGTCAGTCGGTAATGTAGATTTCTACGCGATTACTAGGTTAGCAATTATACCATTTGTCGATAATTTAGAAATCTGCTGTACCGACCACGGATGTATTACCGTCAGTCGGTAATGTAGATTTCCATCATACCCTAGCTTAACCTACTGCCTCCTAAGTATTAGCTTTGGAGACAATACAAGAAGTTTCGATAGGAAAATAATTAAAGAATATTTGAAAAAAAGAATTGTTTTTAAAATAAAAATAACTTTTTTTAAAGTATTTAGCATTTTTTCTACCTTGTTTCTTTACAGAAAGGATATTTTCTTTGTACTCTGGGCTTATCTTTTATGCAATATGCACTATAATTGAGTAAAAGAATATTAGCAATGGATATATAAAGTCAATGTGGAATAATGTTTATGTAAAGGGAGAGGGATAAACGATGAGGAGATGAGGAGGTCAGGAGCAATAGATATAATTGCAAATTAAAACCAATTAGTTTAACTAGGGGCCAACGTTATTGCTTTTTCATTTTAGTTTTGCGATCAAGACCATTAAAATGCATCTCTCCAGACAGTTTTAACGAGCACTTTTAATGTAAATCGCTTCTCTTGGGCTGTTTATGGAAAATCTTGCCTTGTGAATTACATCGGGTTTACACGTTGTAAAATGAGCTATATAACTTTGGCGAGAGGCGACGACAACGTCTTTTCATATTGCTTCTCGCAATTTCCTGTTCCCTTCTAGTCTCTTATTGAGATGATGTCAATAACGTCTTCTTTATCGACAATGAGGTACTTTTTCAATACTTTGATTTTTGATTTAGACTTTTAAGAATAGATTTAGAGAAAATCTATTGGAACGATTGGAAAATGGGGAAGCGTTTTGTGGTGAGAAACATTTCATGTAAAAGAGAGGTTTATACTGTCCCTCGACGATGTCAGTAAAGCATGTACGAGTGTATCCTCCGAAATGGACTCGCCATTATGCCCAAACTAAAACCGTGCATTCAGCCATCTCACTGGGCTTATTAGTATGCAAGCGAGATGTTGCCTTAGGTGGCTTGAAAGCCCAGCGTGTCACATTCATGGCGTGTTTCCTCGAGACGAGCAACACACTGCAAGGGAATAGGTTACAGTTTCTCTTCTATACGTGCCTCCGCACTCTAAGAAACATTAAAGCCACTAGGTCGCATTTTTATGATTTTTTTTCTTCATCTCCTTCTTTTTCTTATTCCTCTAATCGGTGCTCTCTTGAGCACAATTTTATAGCGCACCTTCTCCTTTTGCAGTAGACGGAATTCTACTTGAAATTACATTACTTGGTGCAAAAAATGACAAATTCATAAAAGAACATTTCTATTGCCCTCTAAAAACTAAAGGAATGAACGAAATAATTTAGTTTGAGGTATTCTTGTCACTAGAACATATCGGAATTAAAGTTTTAGATATTCTTAACACTGGAAGATGTTGGAGTTAATATGGACCTGCAGGGACCTTCAGGAAACATTCGTGTCCGTGTTCCTAATGTTGTGGTATTCTAGTCCCTCTATCCTTGTGGAGTTAAAATTTATTTATAGCTGTTCTAGCAACTAGAACATTACGGAATCAAAATTTACTTCAACTATTCACTTAGAATACCAAAGGCTAAATTCATTAACGATTTGGGAGGAACAAAATTTTACCATGACAGGTATGCTTCCCGTTGGAACATATCGGATTCAATATCTCCTTTGGGAGTTCTGTTAATTAAAGAGAAACTACTACATCAAGAGGGTCGGTAATCATCTAATTAGAAACAATTTTTCAAGATACGGAATTACAAGTAAATGATATCGGTAGGAAAATCTCTTTCTAGACATATCTGCAAATGGGATAAGATGATAGATCATTTTCCACTTTTGCAAAACTTGTATTTACTGTCGAATGTGTAGCCGCAAAAGTATCGAGTTAAAAGGATCCCTTTGAATATATGTAAACTATTTCAGTAGAGTTAAAAACCACTAAGACTATATACATACGTTAAATCTTCCTTTGGTTTATAATAAAATCAGTTTAGCAGATCTTTGGATAGCAGAATATTCTAGAATATTTATTACAATTTATTTTTCTTTTAATACAACAATAGAAAATTTCCTTGCTTAATTGAAAACAATAATTAGAGAATGGCATATTTGCTAGTAGAACGTATAATCATCATTGGTTCAAGTAACGGATGCTGATGAACTGTCACCATCCGATAAGCACGTATTTGTAAAGACAGGTATGCTTGTCACTAGAACATATCGGAAGTATAATTCAATTAAATTAGATAATGGAAATTGAAATCATTTACTTTATTACTCAACTACAGATTAAATTATTAAACTAGAGAATGAATTAATTAAATTAGAGAATAGAAATTGAAATGATTTACTTTATTGCTCAAATACTGATACCTACAAATAGAAAAATAACTGATTAATTAATTAATACAGGAGGATGCAGGAGGACAACAACGCATTGGTGGTACCAAGAATTGTCTTGGAAAGAGTAGATAGACGAGGAAGTACGAGCAGCCTTACAAGTCAAGCCAGCTGCATTTCTGTCTTCAAAAATGCTTCGGCTAATGACACTACTTGCTGCAATAAAGAACGAGACTAAGCTATAAGGCTGCAGAAGGAGGAAGAAGCATCCATTTAAAGAATGGAGGAGGAGGCCAGTAAGATGCTGAAGTTCTGTGACGTCCACAAAAACGTCAATATGACGATTAAGGATAAACTGAAAAGCATAACAACGCTCATACAGGAGATTAAGGAAAAGCACGCAGCTGCAAAAAAATAGATGAGAAGTTCTACCAACAATTAGTGTGGTCAGAGGAATCATGACAAGATCGAAGAGAAGAGATCGTCTTAACGCTGTGGCGTCTTAGAAGGTCAGAAGCGGAAGAGGAGCAGTCCTGAGTTGACTAAAAACTCAAAGAAGAAGAATGAAGGACCTCCAAAAATTCCAAAGGACCAAATACAGAAAAAAGGAAGACCACAGAAGAGGTCATCAATGATTGTTAAAGTGGCTGAAGGTTCGACGTTCGCAGCAGTTCTGGGAAAGATCCGTGAGGAAAACCATACGATTTCTAGGGGAGCTGTACCCACCAAGAAGGGAGACCTTTTTATCAAACTTAGAGGTTCTTCTGATAAGGAGACTTTCACCAATAAGGTGACTACGGTGACTGGTGACCTGGGTAAGGTGCAGATTGTGGACCGGCCAACTACTTTCGAGATCCGCGATCTGGATTTCCTCCCGTCCTCGCTCCCACATTGCATGAGCGGATTAGTGACAAGTTAAGGAGCAGGATAAGGGGACCGCCACTTGCCAAGTTTAAGGCCTGACGGTAGATCATCATTTAATTAATGGAATTAAGAATAGGTATGTTTGCCAATAGATCATACCGATATTAAAAGTTTAATTATTATTACTATCAATCTACTTAGGAATCAAAGTCTAATTTTAGTTCTACTTGCCACTACATCATACCAGAATTGTTAATTATAAAGATAATCATTTAATTAACAAATTTAAGAATAGGTGTGCTTGCCACTAGAACATACAGGAATTGATAATTATGA